AACCACTAGACGATCACGGCTACCTGGGACACATTAGAAATACCTTTCATGCTATCGATTTTTTCGGAGGACTAGTATTTTGCATAACAAAAGGCTTAAAATGACTGCCGTAACCAGGATTCGAACCTGGGTTACCACGGCCATACGTGGGGTCCTAACCACTAGACGATCACGGCTACCTGGGACACGTTACAAACACCCTTTCATGCTATCGATGTTTTTTAGAGGACTAGTATTTTGCACCACAAAAGGCTTAAAAATGACTGCCGTGACCAGGATTCGAACCTGGGTTACCACGGCCACAACGTGGGGTCCTAACCACTAGACGATCACGGCTACCTGGGACACGTTACAAATACCCTTTCATGCTATTGATTTTTTCGGAGGACTAGTATTTTGCACCACAAAAGGCTTAAAAATGACTGCCGTGACCAGGATTCGAACCTGGGTTACCACGGCCACAACGTGGGGTCCTAACCACTAGACGATCACGGCTACCTGGGACACATTATAAAATACCTTTCATGCTATCGATTTTTTCGGAGGACTAGTATTTTGCCCACAAAAGGCTTAAAAATGACTGCCGTAACCAGGATTCGAACCTGGGTTACCACGGCACAACGTGGGGTCCTAACCACTAGACGATCACGGCTACCTGGGACACGTTAGAAACACCCTTTCATGCTATCGATTTTTTTTAGAGGACTAGTATTTTGCACCACAAAAGGCTTAAAAATGACTGCCGTGACCAGGATTCGAACCTGGGTTACCACGGCCACAACGTGGGGTCCTAACCACTAGACGATCACGGCTACCTGGGACACATTACAAATACCCTTTCATGCTATCGATTTTTTCGGAGGACTAGTATTTTGCACCACAAAAGGCTTAAAAATGACTGCCGTAACCAGGATTCGAACCTGGGTTACCACGGCCACAACGTGGGGTCCTAACCACTAGACGATCACGGCTACCTGGGACACGTTACAAACACCCTTTCTTGCTATCGATTTTTTTTTGAGGACTAGTATTTTGCACCACAAAAGGCTTAAAAATGACTGCCGTGACCAGGATTCGAACCTGGGTTACCACGGCCACAACGTGGGGTCCTAACCACTAGACGATCACGGCTACCTGGGACACGTTACAAACACCCTTTCTTGCTATCGATTTTTTTTAGAGGACTAGTATTTTGCACCACAAAAGGCTTAAAAATGACTGCCGTGACCAGGATTCGAACCTGGGTTACCACGGCCACAACGTGGGGTCCTAACCACTAGACGATCACGGCTACCTGGGACACGTTACAAACACCCTTTCCTGCTATCGATTTTTTTTAGAGGACTAGTATTTTGCACCACAAAAGGCTTAAAAATGACTGCCGTGACCAGGATTCGAACCTGGGTTACCACGGCCACAACGTGGGGTCCTAACCACTAGACGATCACGGCTACCTGGGACACATTACAAATACCCTTTCATGCTATCGATTTTTTCGGAGGACTAGTATTTTGCACCACAAAAGGCTTAAAAATGACTGCCGTAACCAGGATTCGAACCTGGGTTACCACGGCCACAACGTGGGGTCCTAACCACTAGACGATCGATCACGGCTACCTGGGACACTTTACAAATACCCTTTCATGCTATCGATTTTTTTGGAGGACTAGTATTTTGCACCACAAAAGGCTTAAAAATGACTGCCGTGACCAGGATTCGAACCTGGGTTACCACCGCATTACGACAAGTAGTTTAATTTTAAAAATTCATCGAAGTTTGAGAGAATGAGTAGTCATTTTCACATTTGTTAAAATTAAAATTAGACGATTTACTTGGTATAACGATAGAATATTTGGTTTGATGAACATTCTGAACCATTAAAGTCCTACAAAAACTGGTTCAATTATAAAAATTATTGATTCGTGATAATTTGCTTTTAGAAAATATTCCAAGTTAACGTGTTCGTTCGTTTTCAATTACGTGTAATAAATTCACTCGTAATACTCTTAATCACTCATTAATTAATTTATTTTTTATTGATTAAGTCGGGAAGTTCATGTAACTTGCCTCAAGGCAAAATACGAATACCAACTAGTTTTAATGTCACTTTGCCACGCAGATGGAACTATCTATAAAGCCGCGAAATCAGCAATGATTGAAGTCTTACAAGCAAATATAACTGATAACGAAACACTTTGGTATGAAGCTGTTGTTTTTGATGGATTTTATTTACTGCATTCAATGAAAAATATACCAAAAACATTTGGTAATATTTCGAAAAAATAATGTCTATTTTAACGGCAGCACATGCTGCACGAGTACATATAGTTTTCAAATAGTCATTTAAAAGTACCAACAATTCTTAAACCTCAAAATACTGGCTGGATATTGATTGAAGAAATATTTGATTTCAATTGGTTTGTGGGAGATACCGTTCCTTCTTCAATTTTTGAAATAATATCACAACATCCTTCTCGCATTACTGAGGAGGATGCAAACGGAGCTGATCAACACATAGGCGGTAATGTTAAAATTTTTAAATTTGTAATATTTTATATCTTATTACATTATTAATACATTTAAATTTGTTTTGGTTTATAGACGATAAGTCAGCAATGCCGAATCTTATGACGATGAAGTATTAATTAGCGATATATCTAATAATGATGATTACTTCATGCTAATATATATTTTATTGTGACTAATTAAATTTATTTTGATCATAATTTATAATTTTTCATAATATAGTTTGAATATATGCTATAAGTTTTCATGCAACGCCTATTACTCGCCCTCCCGCCATAGCATTTTTGCCCTCGTCTGGCAAGGGCTTATGCTAGCTAGAATGGTCTGGCAATTGCACAGACCTTTTTAGAATTGCTTAGATAAACACATATGTAAATTTCAGCTTTAAAGGATAAAATTTATTTTGGGGTATATTTTGCTCACTTTCCGGCTCGTCTGGCAGGTACTTGTCGAAATGGTCTGGCAGAATGATTTTCGAACTTCTCAATGAGTAAATTGCATCGTATAAAAATTTGAACCTTACAGGAACAAGTTTAATTTTCGGGTGTTTTTTACGCTTTCAAACGCCTGGACGACCATGATGTGCAGGGCTAAAACCTGCCTGTCGTTTCCGTACTTAGCACATTAAGAATCACCTGTACAAAAATTTTCAGCTTTACAGGAACACCGTTATTCAAAAGATTCACTGGCTCTTGGTCCATAACAAAGAGCCTTTCACGCTATTAGTTTGTTTGAAGGACTAAAATTTTGAATCATAGAAAACTTAAAAATGGCTTTGCCCAGACAATGTTATTACATTGCCGTAATCAGGATTCAAACGTACAAGCACGAGCAAGTACTTGAACGGCATTGAAAAATATTAAATTTTATAATTCTTATAAAAGCGTATAAAATTATAAACGTCCGCATGAGTATAGAATTGTAATACGTCCGCATGAGAAATATACGTCCTTGATATATGAAAAATCCAAGAAATGTTCAACATATAAATCCATTAATTACGAGTTCCAAATATTCATTTGATAATTCATTAATCTTTACATACATGATTTAATTCATGCAACACACCATAATACACAAAAAAAATTCTAAAAAAGCTCACCTAGCATCCGTATAATAGGTTTCCGGTGCTGTGCCTGCCTTGCCTCTCCGTGCACAGAACCTCGCACTCCCTTGCCGAGGGTGTGTTTTTTCGCTCGCCTGATACGTAGCCCCATTCGCGCGTACAGAACCATCATGACCAGCATTGGCGCCAGGAAAAACAGCAGCCCGGAGGCTTCGTACAGATGCAGACCTTCCGGTAGGTACAACAATGCGCAGAAGGCTGACTCCGTTGCTATGTCTGTTGTATCTGGGAAATATAATAGCTCACGTCAGCCTTAAGGGGGTTGTTCTTTTTTTGTTACAAAAAATGCAAGGTATTTGTTTTTGTTTTTCTCGAAATGTATTGATCATAGAGACTTGCGGTTTTTTTAAACAAAAATTACAAAATACTAGAATATTAAGAAATTTTTTATTTTTTTTGTCGCTGTCATTTGTTAACAGGTTAACCTTCATGAAAATTTGATCAGTTCTTCAACTTGTTAATACAAGTAAAATGTTTTTTGAATTATTCAAATCGGACGCTTCGTTCTCCAAAGGGGGCTCCAAAGTGGGCATTGCAAAATCGATCTCTTTTGCGGTGCCACAGATAAATCCGTTGTGCATCGCTTGAAACAAAAAAAAAACAAAACTACGTTGAAAAAGAAGTTTGAATCCAGTCCCCCTACCAAAATAAAAGAAAAAAAGCAAGAAGGAAAAAAATGGCAGCTATTTAAAAAAAAGTGTTAAAAAGGGCCTCTTTTTGGGACGAGAAGCTTCGCAATTTTTTTTTTGCGTAATGTTATCAAGTTGTTTGCGGTAGGGGGACTAGGTATTGCAATGGTGAACATATTAAAAAAAATGCAAGTCGATCCGACTTGTAGTTTTTTTTTAATTTGTGGCACCGCATTGAAAAAAGTCAATTTGATAAAAACATATTTAAAGTTTTTAATATAATGTACTAAATACACCATTTAATTTAATGTACTAATACACCATGGTGTTCAAAAGTGCTGACACATTAAAAAGGTCATGTGCATTACGTATTATAATGAAAAAGAGAGCAGCTGGCATACAATAGCTCGCGGAGCGATGAAAAAAACGGTTTCAGTAGATCATACATATAGAGATATATATATATCTATAACTTCGTCAAAAAAATAGATATTGAAATGATTTTTTTCAAAAAATCTCAAAATCGAGAAAAAATAAATAAAAAACGAACAACCCCCTTAAACTTAAGAAAGTTTTTGGGTAAACTTTTATTTATGTGTAGAGAAAATTTGGCAATACTATATTATATTTAATTGTGAACTCATTATTTAAAACTTCAAAACCAAATTTTTACACAGCAAAAGCTTAATATATGCAGATATCACCTACATATATTTCTGTTTCATAAATATGGCACGAATGCAAAAACACTAAGCACGAAATAGAAATTTAATGAGATTATAGAGAACGGACAAAATAGTATATATTGTTAGCGAAATATATTTGTATATATAATATATTAATTAAAAGTGAGCCACGAGTTTTGTATGTATCGAGATACCTTGTATTTTGTAGAAAATATAAGAGTGTATCGTATTTTGTATTTATTTACGTAGACACTTGGTAATGATTTTAAATTGTGAAAATATATAAAATTAATACAGTATGATTGAAGTTTTGAAATATTTTAATCAATTTTCTTCAAGCTTAGGCGGTTTGAAAAACATTGTATTTTCTACCGCTTAGCTGTTTTTAAAATATGTTTCTATTCAGGCTTATGCTAACAAAAAAAAAAGAAACTAGTTGTAAGTGGAATTCTGTCTTGAGGCAAATAAAGCATCGTGCCTTAAGGCAAATTGCTGGAACTTCCCGTACCGCAATTCAAAATTCGAGTAATTAAAAATAATCAATAATAATCAATAAAAGTTGATCAATGATTTGATACTTTTAATAGAATTTCGAACCATATTAAATCATTCTATCTTAAATCATTTATTTTGAAATATTTTGGAAATTCTAAACTTTTTTTCAAAGCAATCGTACTGCTTTAACTGGATAAAGACAAAATATCGAAGCGCGTAAGCGCCGCGTCGCCGTCTAAAGCGTAAACATTGGTACGGAACTCATAGGAATGTAAACAAAATTTATACTTATTGTTAAAATCTCTATAAAATATCTGATAATTTGATGTGCACATGTCTAATGATCATTTTTGACCGTCAAATGGCATTTTTTTTTACTTTTTTTTACTAGATCTCCGCAACCGCTAGATCTGCCCTCATGAAAATTTGATCAGTTCTTCAACTTGTTAATACAAGTAAAATGTTTTTTGAATTATTCAAATCGGACGCTTCGTTCTCTTAAAAACTAGGTTACCGTTTTTGGCACTTTTTACCCCGTATCTTTGGAACGGCTGGACCTGCCTTTGCCAAAAACTAATCAGCACGTCTCCTTATCAATACAAATCGAATGCTTTTTGAATTATTCAAATCGCTTCATCCGTGTTCCCGAAATCGTCGACAAAAATTTGTATCCGAACACACGCACACACACACACACACACTAACATTCAAGCTTTGCCAAAATGTTCAGAAGGTTTTGAAACGTAAAGATATATAAAAATCTTCATTTTCGATTTTTTTGCGATTACTATAACTTGCCCTACGGAAAGTTAATAAAAATACAAGATAGATAAATTAAATGAATAAATTAAATAAATAATTAAAATAATAATAATAATAATGATAAAAACAATAATGTATAATAACTGAGTAACTTGTGAAAAACATTCTTCTGTGCATGAGAGAAAAATTTATGTTGTGAGCTGATGTAGATCACTGGGCGCGTCTTTTTAACGGTCAAAATCTAAAAATCTTGATACGGAATCCATAGAAATGTATACGAAATTGGTACTTAGTATTAAGATATATCGATCAATAGCTTTTTGAATCATTCAAATCGGTTGATCCCATTGTGAACAGATAATTGATATCCAAAATGTTGGAATACAAATTCCAGAATGTCTTGAAACGTAAAGATATGCAAAACAAAAAAAATTCGATTTCTTTGCGATTACTAAAACTTAACCCACGGGTAGGTGAAAAGTGCATTCAAAGCGTGCTACTCTATCACTACCAATTACAACTTTTATAACGAATGTGAAAATCGAAACAATAAAATACGCAAAGCGGTTTTTATTATAGAATGGAATAGTCGCTTTTGAAAATATATACTATTCAGTGATTAACAATACTTGCTTTCATTCTGTTTGTTTAAAATTTCAAAGAAACTGATCGCTGCGAAGGCGGCTTATGTTCACAGCGATTTCATTTAAAACAATGTATACATTTACGGCAAAATCGTGTTTGAGTCTATTTCACGTAATACAAAAATATAAAATGAAATCTGTTTATAATTAACTTTGCGTGGGGTAAGTTATATTAATCGCAAAAAATCGAAAATATATTTTTTTATATATTTTTAGTTTTCAAAGGTTTCTGAACATTTTGGCATAGATTAGAAAAAAATGGATGTATGTGTATGTGCGGTAACAATTTTTAGTCTACGATTTCGAGAACACGGATAAACCGATTTGGATGACTCAAAAAGCATTCGAGGTCCAGCCGTGTCTAAGGGTCAAAATGTGCCCAAAATGGTATTTCAGTGTTTAAGAGGATGGAGCGTCCTGTTTGAATGATTTAAATAACATTTAACTTGTATTGATGAAATGAACAACTAGTGAAAATTTTGTGAAGGCAGATCCAGCAGTTCTGGAGATCCAATAAAAAAGTGAAAAAAAAAATAATGCCATTTGGCGGTCAAAAATGATTACGGATTACGATATTTCGGCTCTAAAACAGCTATGCAGCGCGATTGCTTTAACATATTTTTAAAAAAAATAAAATATAAAAAAACGAATACGCGCTTCGATATTTCGACTCTGAAACAGCTATGCAGCGCGATTGCTTTAACATATTTTTTAAAAAAAATAAAATATAAAAAAACGAATTTTTTAAAAAAGTCAAATTTCTTTCAAAAATTTCAAAGTTCTCAAAGTTCTAACTTTTTCAAAGTTTTTAAAAAAATTTAAAGTTTTTTTTTAAATTTTGGTTTTCGGTACGGAAAGTTCCGGGAATTTGCCTTGGTACGACGGCATGCACCATTAGTTAGATCCGCAAATCATACATTTTTTAGCTATGAATATTTAACGAATAGAGGAAGCGCGCATCAACAACAAAAAAACTTATTCTACTTGCAATTAGAACTCCTATTCTGCTATTTGTTCGTATGAAGAAATCTCTAAGTATCTACGCCGTCGACAGCTCTAATCTCTATGTGCGTTCGTACGAAGGAATCGCTAAGTATGTACACTAGCTGTAATCTCTATGTGGGTTTGTATGAAGAAAGCTCTGTGCATGCACTCGAACTTTAATCTCTACCAACGTATTCTGATTAAATCGGTATATGCCAGTTGTTTGACTATTTCATGTTTTGTACAACTATTTTTATATTTTATAATCCTTTTACTACAAGCTTCGCCCACAGGTGAATACCGGTGTCGCCTACATACGAAATATAGTGCGTCGAGAATTTATACAAAAATTACCACCCTAAGTGAAATTTATCAAAATTATAATTTTATATTGTAATTTTTAATTCTTCAATACATTTTGTATTGATAAGAATTGCAAAATCTTAAACGCGTTGTTGTGCTTGGTACGTTCAGTAGCGCTACTCATCGGCTCGCTGTTCAGCACAGCAGTGTCACACCTGCCAAAAACAATGTCGAAGCCAACGGCCTAAATATTCATAGACGTTTAAATTATGTTTTGATAATTATTTGTTCACTACTGAAATTATTAACTTCCAGTACAGTAAGTTATAAACATCGCAAAAAAACGAAAATCTTTACATTTCAAAGGTTTCTGAACATTGGAAAAAACGGTTGCATGTGTGTGTGTATGTTTGACTACAATTTTTCATGCACGATTTCGGGTGCACGGATCAACCGGTTTGAATTATTAAAATAACTTCAGATTCCTATTGATAGATAGACGTGTTGGTTAATTTTTGGTCGAAAATAGGTCCAGCCATTTCGAAAATAAAAGGCAAAAATGGTCAAAAACGGTAATTCAATTTTTAAAAAAACGTTTTTCAGATTTTTTTATTTAAAATATGAATTTTAAATTTGTAATTCATTTTAAAAATGTATATATTTCTAATCGCAAGAAATAGATGGTTTCATTCGGCATTTCTTGTTAATGTAAACATTCTTATGTATTTTATGCGTTAAAAAACGTATGTTTTTACCATTTTTGTTCGGGCGGAAGAAAAAGTAATAAAATCATGATATTGAAGATAGTTATTTGTTGTACTTAAAGTAACAAAATAAAATATAATTGTAAGAAAAAAAAGTAAAAAAGGTGGTACTAAAGCCATTTCGGCGAGCCGCGTCAAATCCGCGGCACGCAAAATAACTACAACAATTCAAATTTTTAATAGTATATTTGAAATAACATTTTAAAGTTCTTATTATAGCGGATTTAAAAAATATCGATTTTTGTTTGTTTGGCGAGCACTTTATTCAAAATAGTTGAATTTCAACAAAAGTTCCGATATGATGGGTACTAAAAAATGTAATTTTAAATTACATTTAAACAAAAATTCGAATAAAAAAAGTTTAAATTGTTGTAGTTATTTTGCGTGCCGCGTTGTAAAATCATGTTTGGAGAAAAACTCGTTTGAAGATTTGAAATTAATTATAGATAAGAAAAAATAAAAAAATGTCAGTTTAATATTTTTACTATTAATCTGATATCCCAGCAATATATAGATGCCTTTTTATTTTTATAATTTTTTTCTTATTTTCTTCCCTTGATGAATTTATATCAGAGCGTCCTACTTTTGGCGCAAAGACCGTTCGGTATGCTTAAGACGTTTATAATCGACTTCAAGACAAAAATTACATGTTTAGATGCCAATATTAATATCCAAAACTATTTTCATTTATAAAATATTGCTTAGGCCATCGTTTAAATTATTCCCAGCAACATCAGCCGCAATGTAGTCAACCTTTATATATGTGTTGACTCTGCATTGATCATCTATTGGTTAAAAATGCTTTTACAGTTTATTTATGCAATATAAATATTTAATAATAACATATTTTAGTATGTTCAAGATGATACATATGGCCATTTTGCTTTATAATGTTTTTAACTTCCCGTAGAGCAAGTTATAGTAATCGCAAAAAAATCGAAAATGAAAATTTTTATATATCTTTACGTTTCAAAACCTTCTGAACATTTTGGCATACCTTAGAAAAAATGGATGTATGTGTGTGTATGTGTGTGTGTATGTGCGTATATGTGTGTGTGTGCGGATACAAATTTTCGTCGACGATTTCGGAAAAATGAATGAAGCGATTTGAATAATTCAAAAAACATTCGATTCGTATTGATAAGGAGACGTGCTGATTAGTTTTTGGCAAAGGCAGGTCTATCCATTCCAAAGATATGGGGCAAAAAGTGCCAGAAACGGTAACTCAGTTTTTAAGAGAACGGAGCGTCTGATTTGACTAATTCAACTAGTGGAGCGCATGGCATCGTGCCTTAAGGCAAATTGCTGGAACTTCCCGTACCAAAAATTATTATTTTTTTGAAAACGATTAACATTTTTGAAAAGAATTCACTTAAAAAATGAGATTTTTGAGAAACTATCAGTTTGACAAAAATTTACTTTTTTTTGAAAATTTTTTTTTTTGTTGAAATCGTATTGCTTTAACTGCATAGAGACAAAAATGTCAAAGCGTTACGCGAAGCGGCGCCGCGTCGCCGTCTAACGGATAAACTTTGGTACGGAACCCATAAGAATGTAAACAAAATTTATATTTATTTTTAAAATCTTTTTAAAATTTGATCAGTTTTTTATCTTGTCAATACAAGTAAAATGTTTTTTGAATTATTTATATCGGACGCTCCGTTCTCTTAAACACTGAATTACCATTTTTGGCACTTTTTGCCCCGTATCTTTAGAACGGCCAGACCTGCCTTCGCAAAAAACTAATCAGCACGTCTCCTTATCAATGTTTCGAATGTTTTTTGAATTATTCAAATCGGTTCATCGGTGTTCCCGAAATCGTCGACAAAAATTTGTATCCGCACACACACACATACACGCACACACATACATCCATTTTTTCTAAAATATGCCAGAATGTTCAGAAACCTTTGAAACGTAAAGATATATAAAAATTTTCATTTTCGATTTTTTTGCGATTACTATAATTTGCCCCACGGGAAGTTAAAAAACATTTTACTTGTATTAATAAGATGAAGAACTGATCAAATTTTCACGAAGGCAGGTCTAGCGGTTTTGGAGATCTAGTAAAAAAAGTAAAAAAAAAGCCATTTGGCGGTCAAAAATAATCATTCGACATGTACACATCAAATTATCAGATATTTTATAGAGATTTTAACAATAAGTATAAATTTTGTTTACATTCCTATGAGTTCCGTACCAATGTTTATCCGTTAGGCGGCGACGCGGCGCTTACGCGCTTCGATATATCGTCTCTATGCAGCTAAAGCAGTACGATTGCTTTGAAAAAAAAGTTCAGAGTTTCCAAAATATTTCAAAATAAATTTTTCTTCAAAAAGTCTTTTTTTCAAAAAAAAGTAAATTTTTGTCAAAAATTTATAGTTTCTCAAAAATCTAATTTTTTCAAAAATGTTAATCTTTTAAAAAAAAAAAAAAATTTTGATACGAGAAGTTCCAGCAATTTGCCTTAAGGCACGATGCCATGCGCCCCACTAGTTTGTTAATATATTTGAGCGGTGTCGGTTCGGAGCAGTCCGACGCGCATTGGAAAAAGCTCATAATTACAACAAGAAAGTTTTAGGTATAAAATATTTTTCCTCATGTTCTAAAAGATTCAAAGTATATTTTAAGCCTAAAAAAAATATTTTGGTTTTTCGAAAAATCTACAGTGCGGTTGTACCTTTGAGGATCGATGGCATGCCCCACTAGTTTGATAATACATTGAACATCTATGAAATCAAAAGTTCTCGTCGCCAGCAATTTTAAATGTGATGACAAATATGTATCTGAATTTTTTGTGTGTAATTAATAGTTATTACAAATTAATTTCAGCATGATGCCATTGTAAGAAAAAACTACAAATTCTCTAACAATACATATAAATGTATGTAATGTACATAAATGTATGCCCGTTTCGAGCGCAAAAGCTCGCGAGATCAGAAGGTCGCAAATGATAAATATACTAAAAAATGTTGATAAATATTTACGGGTGTCATTTCAATATTTATGCACTATTTAACCATCATATAGAAACAAAGTTTCAACTTTTACTTACTTGGTGGATAGTAAAGGTAGTTGATAGTAGTAAATATGGCAAAAGGACTGGCGCTGATCAAAGATGTGATCCATAAAACAGCTATGATCCTGGTAGCTCTCTTCAAACCAGACATGGTATATGAGTGCAGAGGATGACATATTGCCAAATACCTCTCCATGGAAAATGCCACTATCGTCAGAACACTAACATACGAGGACCTTGAAAATAGTAATAAGTTTTATTACACAATGTTCATTAACATATTATTTTTATAAATAAAAACATAATTGAAACTGAGTAACAAGTGGTGCATGGCATTGTGCCTTAAGGCAAATTGCAAGAACTTTTCGTATCAAAAACTAAATTTAAAAAAAAAAATAGCTTTTTGAGAATTTTGAAATTTTTGAGAGAAATAGACTTTTTTGAGTAATTGGATTTTTTTTTAATTTTGATTTTTTTTGAAATTTTTTTCTAAACCCAAAATATCGAAGCGCCTAAGCGCCGCGTCGTAATCAAACGTGTAAACATTGGTACAGAACCAATATAAATGTACACAAAATTTGTACTTATTATTATAATCTCTACAAAATATCTGATAATATAATGTGCATATGTCTAATGATCATTTTTGACCCAAAAATGCATTATTCTTTACTTTTTGATTCAATCTCCGGAAACGCTGGACCTGCCTTTCCAAAAATTTCAACATTTATTCATATCAATACAAGTAAAATGTTTTTAGAATCATTGAAATCGGAAGCTCCGTTTTCCCAAAAACTGAAATACATTTTGGGCACTTTTTGCCTCGTATCTCGAAGCGGCTAGACTTGCCTTTTCCAAAAACTAATCAGCACATATAAGGACTGCTGCATAATATTGTCATAGCTATTATTCTGCCAGCCAACGCAATAAACAAAACTGTGCAGGTCCGTTATTTGCGACACGTTACAAAAAATTGTACTATCATGAACTTTTGGTTTGCGTTATTATCATATACTAATTTTAAATTTAATACGTCTTATTTTGTTTCGCAAACAAAAATGATCATTAGACATATGCACATCAAATTATCACATATTTTATAGATATTTTAATAACAAGAACAAATTTAGTTTACTTTTCTATGTTTGCCCGTTATACTGCGACGCGGCGCCCACGCGCTTCTATATTTTGTTTCCACGCAGCTAATATATCGCGATTGATTTGAAAAAAAGTTCAAAATTTCCAAAATATTTTAAATTATAAAAAAACTAATATTTTAAAAAGGTCAATATTTTTCCAAAAATTTTAAAAATCTCAAAAATCGATTCAATTCAGAGTTCTAAAAGAAATTATTATTTTTTTTTTAATTTTAATTTTTGGTACGGGAAGTTTGAGCAATTTGCCTTAAGCAAATAAGTAATAAGTAATGCAATTTGATTTATACAAATTACTTAAAATCTATGAATAAATTTGCCAGTTTTAGAAGAATAAACTGACCAATTGAAGAATTGAACAATCTCTTCTCTAGTCATTTCCCAAATAGGTAAACCCATTTATTATATATTTACTATTGACTTCATACACCATCCACAAATTTATTCAAATATTGTCTGGTTCATTTGGTATATTTTATATAAATCTGCACATACATGTTGACTGAAACAACTTCCCAAATAACAATATTTTCCGTCGATCAAATTGACCCATCGCGGTAGTTAGGCCACATAATTTTTTTTTTCGGAAAATAGAAAAAATAGCTAAAATCAAAGAGTGAAAAAATATTACGATTCTATAAATATAGTCTAAGTTTTTTTTTAATTACAATCTGTCACATTTACAATCTTGTAATTGTTTTGATTTAATTATATGGATTTTTTAAATGGATGGCAACCCAATTGTAGTAGTTGTCTAATAGTAGTAGTTGTCCAATCCAATTATGACTAATGAACTTTACTCGAAGTATTTGCTGACATTTAAAATGTCTGTATCGGTCATTTTGACCGGCGTTGGTAGGTTAAGTGTTAATATCATTATGATCCTATTGAAAATGCCTATTACTAGTTACTCATGTTACAGATAGCCCCTAGTTCCCCTATATATTAAAATATTCAAGACGTAGGAATTCTTATACTTAATTCCTTTAGTCGTATATAAATTGCTATTTTCAGAATATAAATACATTCAAGTCCTTCAAAGATTTGAATTTATCTTTATCATAACCCTATAATTATAATTTAATGGAAGATTAAAGATAAATCATCAATCTGAGCATGGTTAATTATAAATGAGTGGAGATGAGTAGCAATTAAAATATCGTTTAACATCGTTCAATTTGGTAAAAGCAAATAACTTTGAATAAATTGGATAACCTTAATGAAAAACTCAACCCTTGAAAAATTATACGCGATAAAATACAAAAACAATGCAAGTATTATTCATTCATTTCAATGCAAGTATTTAAATAAAAGTTTCTTTGCGGCTGTAAATAGTAACGAATCGCTGCATTTTATAATTTCATTAACAGTTGCTATTTGTGGCTTTTCTTGGAAACAAAAATTAAATGCCATTCGGACAATTTGACATAATCATTTAAATAGTAGTTATTAATAAAGCTAGTTAATCTATTTGTAACATTCTAAAAAAGTTTTTTTCGTTCAAAAATCTGATTAATTCATATTACGTCTCCTCCACATTTTATGTAACTCGAGTAATTAGCAATAAAAGCGAGAACTAGTGGGGCGAATCATGGCATCGTGCCTTAAGGCAAATTGCTGAAACTTACCGTACCAAAAATCATTTTTTTGAACATTTTTGAAAAAAAATTACTTCGAAAAAATTAGATTTTTGAGAAACTATAAATTTGACAAAAAATTACTTCTTTAACTTTCGGTAGGGCAAGTTATAATAATCGCAAAAAATCGAAAATGAAAATTTTTATATATCTTTACGTTTCAAAACCTTCTGAACATTTTGGCATACCTTGGAAAAAATTGATGTATGTGTGTGTGTGTGTGTGCGGATACTAATTTTCGTCGACGATTTCGGGAACACCGACCAACCGATTTAAATATTTCAAAAATCATTCGATTCGCATTGATAAGGAACGTGCTGATTAGTTTTTGGCGAAGGCAGGTCTAGCCGTTCCGAAGATATGGGGCAAAAAGTGCCAAAAACAGTAACTCAGTTTTTAAGAGAACAATTTGTCCGATTTAAACAATTCAGAAAATATTTTACTTGTATTGACGAAATGAACATCTGGTCAAATTTTCATGAAGACATATCTAGCGGTTTCGGAGATCTAGTATAAAAAGTGAAAAAAAAATACCATTTGGCGGTCAAAAATGATCATTAGACATATGCACATCAAATTATTAGATATTTTATAGAGATTTTAATAATAAGTATAAATTTTGTTTACATTTTTATGGGTTCCGTACCAATGTTTATCCGTTAGACGGCAACGCGGCGCTTACGCGCTTTGACATTTCGTCTCTATGCAACTAAAGCAGTACGATTGCTATGAAAAAAAGTTCAGAATTTCCAAAATATTTCAATTAATATTTAAATATTTAATTTTTTATGAAAATTGAAAATTATGAAAAATGAAAATTGTTCAGCAATTTTCAATTAATTGGCTAAGAACTGAGTTTGTTTTACTTCATATATTTTGGGTAAGCTGTTTTGTTTTTAATTAACAGGATATAAAATAAACATAATTTTTAACCTCATCAAAAGTTTTAAATTCATATGAAACTGATCAGAGATGGGTGCTGATTATATTAATTGCTGCAGAAACCTGCAGGGTTGTTTAAAATTTGAATGTTCATAGTTAAATGCTAAAACATTTTCTATCGATTACAAGTGTTACGAGAAAATCATCTAGTAGTCGAATTCATTAAATTTCGCGTAGAGATCATTTGCACACTTCTGTATAGTTAAATCGTGAATATCATTAACGATTCGATAAATTTAAAAATTGAAAACGTAATATATATACATAAATACATACACACACACACACACACACACACACATATATATATATATATATATATATATATATATATATATATATATATATATATATATATATATTAGGGTGGTCCTTAAAATGGTCATTTTCGAATTTCCTTGCTCCCAGGGGCTCAAATGGTTCCAAGTTGATAAAAAACAGTTTTCTGAAAGTTTTAGCTCTTAATATTAACGTTTAGATAGAGCGCAATTCAATCAAAGTTTGTATGGAAAGAGCATGAAAAATTTTTTGAAAATTAAAAAAAAATGTTTTAGGTATAACTTAGCGACAAATGAATGAGTTTTATTCATTCATTTGTTCGCTAAATTACATTTAAAAAACATTTTTAAAAATTTTGAAAATTTTTCCATGCTATTTCCATACAAAACTTTGATTGAATTGCGCTCTATCTAAACGTTAATATTAAGAACTAAAATTTTCAGAGAATTGTTTTTTATCTATTTGGAACCATTTGAGCCCCTGGGAGCAAGGAAATTCAAAATGACCATTTTAAGGACCACCCTAATATATATATATATATATATATATATATATATATATTAGGGTGGTCCTTAAAATGGTCATTTTCGAATTTCCTTGCTCCCAGGGGCTCAAATGGTTCCAAATAGATAAAAAACAATTCTCTGAAAATTTTAGCTCTTAATATTAACGTTTAGATAGAGCGCAATTCAATCAAAGTTTTGTATGGAAATAGCATAAAAAATTTTTCGAAAATTTTAAAAATGTTTTTTAAATGTAATTTAGCGAACAAATGAATAAATAAAACTCATTCATTTGTCGCTAAGTTATACTTAAAACATTTTTTTTTAATTTTCAAAAATTTTTCTATGCTCTTTCCATACAAACTTTGATTGAATTGCGCTCTATCTAAACGTTAATATTAATAGCTAAAACTTTCAGAGAATTGTTTTTTATCAATTTGGAACCATTTGAGCCCCTGGGAGCAAGGAAATTCGAAAATGACTATTTTAAGGACCACCCTAATATATATATATATATATATATATATATATATATATATATATATATGAAAGCATACCCCTCCTTAACTGATTATTTGGATTTTGATAAATCTTTTTCAGGTTTGTTAGGAAATTTTTTAGGATTGAAATGATTATAAAAATATGGTAACATTGTAAAAATAAATGAAAAAAATTGCAAAAAACGATATGTCATTGTTTGACATTGAAATTGGTTAGACAAATAACTGTCATATTCCAGAAATTTTCAACGTTATTTTGAAAAAATAAAATTAGTTTATTTCCAAAATATCATACAAATTAGAGGACAGTAAAAAAATTCGCACGTGACACCCCTTTTCCTCTACATTTACTGCACTCATTTCGGTGATCGTAGATTGAATAGTGCACATATGAACAGGATATGAAAAATTAATTCACTTATAATTTGAACTTGAGTAATTTATTAGAGAGAAAAATGAAATTTAGATATTATAATTACTAAAAAAACTAGTTAAAATATGGTACAAGATTATAAAAATTATAGGCAACATTGTTGAAGCAATTATTTTTGGTGGAAAAATCCAAAGTGATCTTTTACCGCGGATACTATATATTATTTCTTTCTGAATTTATTATACTGTTTAATAGACTGCAATTTCCAATACGTATATTCTATGCTATGACCACAAATAAATTACAGAGGAAGACGATTTTTGTAGGATAAATTTAAAAAATCAATGTTTTAGTCATGGATAAACAAAAAAGAGTTATTTATGCATCTACAGGTATGACTAAAAATGTTATATAACCATTGGCATTAAAATAAATTGAGATATTGGAAACAAATTCGTTCTAAAAATTGTAGTGTATAATTTTAAATATAAAATTACATAGAACATACTTTGGTATTTGTTAAGGGATAATTAAAGATGTAACTGTGGTAATTGAGAATCATCATTTTATTTGAAGCAGTTTTACATCTAACATCACTCATATTTTGGTGTTAATAATAATAAAAAAAACAATGATTTATTACTCTTAACTAAACAATAAATACTAGTATAGAATATTTAAAAAAAATCGAACTTTTGAATTGTAGACGTGGATACAGAACAACGTCTGGCGGGTCATCTAGTATACAGTGAGGATTAAGCTCTCTGCCGCCCTAGGCCCTATCCGTTCAGGCGGCCTTTAATAGACAATATTTTATTTTTTTAATTAAACTTTCTTTTTATAATTATTTAGATATAATTTTTAACTTTGCTTAGAGTAAGTTATATTAATTGCAAATGAATCGAAAATGATATTTTTTTCTTATCTTCACGTTCTAAGGCCTTCTGAACATTTTGGTATACCTCAAAATGTGTATGTGTGAATGTATGTTCGACTCCCATTGATTCTGATTGGTTTTTCGCTAAGGTTGGTCCAGCCGTTTTGAAGATACGAAGCAAGAAGTGCAAATAGAAATCAGAACCTTACGCCCTGAATCTTTTTCTTTTATGTCGTATTTTTGTAGATGTCAACCCAACTGTTGATC